GGAAAGGCTCCACAATGTGAAGCTTATATAAATCATGCTTTATACAGTTAATTTATGTCAGTGATTTTATATACATTTTCAAAACAGATACCTAGTTTATCCAAAGGACATAAAATCAAAAGGCATGTTATTTAAGAGAAAAACTCCATTATCAACCAAATGTTATGTCAATAAAGGTAGAGCCAATGACCAATGTCTCCTTAAATGACCCGATGTTCTTCAGATCAATCAACTCTGTGTACCATAAATGTCTTCCCATAGTAGTATATTCCAATCAATTCCTGCAGGCAAATATGAGTAAATTAAGTTTTATCAAAATCATTTCCTTAAATGTACAGTGGCTTTAATTTGATAGAGGAAAAACAAAACATGACACAAACAAGTAGAATTAGGGAATAAAACTGAAATTATTCTGCTCAGATCACCCACAGAATTACTATTGCCTTTACTGTCTCCTTTTTTGAAGCTTTTTTCTTTCTATACTGCAAAATAACTGTCTCAAAGAATCTTCAATATAAATAAAAGAAGAATTTGTTTGAGGACACGAATGCCCCCGCTCAAGCTTGCTTTTGAAACGCAAATGGGACAGACGGAAAGACAGAAGGAAGAACGGTCAAGGCTAACACTTAATGCCCCTTTTCACCTTGCAGTGGGGGCATAAAAAGAAGCTTTTTTCTTCTATACTGCCAAATAACTGTCTCAAAGATTCTTCAATATGAAGTTTTCCAGTTGAATAACTTTCAAATACATGCACCATTATTATAAAGACACAGACCTAGCAAGCATTTCACAAAAAATCTTTTCAAACTCACTTGTATAAGTTAAAAACATAAATTCAATCAAATTATAGAGATAAAACAAAAGTCCAGGCCATAAAGCCAGATTAAACCTCAATAATGTCACTAGAACTCAGTATGCACTTTGAATACTCCCAATTAATACTAATCGTTCAAATTTACATTAATATAAAACTTTTGATCTATTCACTTCTACATTACTACATGCAATTTTTATTTGAGAAATAAAGATTATTATAATTGAATAGTACAGATCTATTTTTCTGAACCCTGCAGATAAAGGATGCCAAAGAATTACTAGCTATTCATCTTGTGACAATTTTGTTTGCCTCAGCGGTCACACTTCACATCTTTGGAAAAATCTTTCCGGATTCACTCGGAACACTGCAATCAATATTTTGACTGCTTCAGTGCAGTAAACCATCCTCGGCTTTCTAATGAAATTGAACTAATTTGACATACGAATCTTAGCAAAACAAGTTTGTTGATTTCCTTTATTTGTTTCACTGGTTCGGAAAACATGTTGACAATACATTTGCAACAGCGCTATAGATAATAAATATTCAATGTATCGGTGATCTATATAATGTGTGGTAATTTCAGCACTGGTTGACTTATTACTATTATATATATGTTAACCAACACTCCTCATAAAAACAGAGATTGAGTAACCAATTTTTACCTATGTTTGCTGTGTGATATGTAATTTAGTACATAGATCAATTAAACAGTGATTACATGACGGTTTCCTCCAATTGTAATTAATAAAGCATACAAAATTTCAAGGTGCCGACTACATTAACTTCTTTTTTTCATAAAATTAATCCCTGAATCCCCTACTGAACTGTAAAAAACACAAGATTTTATTGAAAATTGATCTTGTTCTGTTCAAAAAGCATTCGGTTCAATGTGAAGGACAAACAGTTTAATTTGAAGCTCTCGAAATAAGCTACTCGACAAACCTGCAACTTTTTAATCATAAAATAATCAGATTTTTTTTATTTACTTTTATGTATATCCACATCAATGGTAAGCTATTTCAATATAAAAGATTTGAAAGTTCAAAAATTTTCAAAGCATACTAAATTATTAAAACTGACGATTTAATCTTAAATCTACTAAGAACATGAATAATGGGCAATCTTTACAGTTTACAGTTTTATTGTGACGACACCTGCCACTGTGGTTTGGTAAATGAATAACAATAAAACACGTTTTTTTTTCTTTAAATGTTAATAATAAATTTCAAATTTGAATAAATTTTACAGTTATGTTCAACTATGAAACAGGAGGGGTATAATCCTATGGCCAATACATTATAATAGAAGTTTGAAGGAGGTCTTGGTGCACTATTTCAACGGGTCTTCTAACCAGGTCCAAGTCCTATTCAGCAACTAATGGTATTAATTCTATAAATATAAAATTTTACAAAAAAACTAAATATACGCCCCAGTTGGAAATTTATAGCTTACATCAGGGGCTATTTAAATTCAAGGACACAGGTCAGGCCATCTACATTTATGGATATATATACGCCTTAAAACTTTTTAAAAAATAATAGAAAATATTGACTTATTGTAATTCTTCCTCATACAAAATTAAAAAGTATGAAACACTAGCCAGTTATAACACCCATAAATCATTAAAACGTGTAATGTCATAATTGACACTTTTCACCTGGAAAACTAACATTATTTCATAATCGTGTATACTTAGAAAATTGAGAATCACTTATAATAATTAGTAGTTAGAAACTTGATATTCTTTTAAGTAGACTAATATCTTAGTCCTAATTATATAAATATGAAATCATCCTTCAAAATACACCTGCAATTACTATCTTCCAATCATAAAGATTATATTGATAAGAAATGAATACAAATCTTGTCTTTTCTCTTAAAGCTACCTGGTTTAATAATACTATAGGTAGAAATGAGTAATTAACGCTTTTTTAAACATTATGTTTATTTATATGTAAATTGCACCAAATTACTGTGTTTATGCAAGTAAACATAAACTACTACGAGGCATGAGGCATTATTAGGCCAAGGTAACCAAATAAATATGAAAACAACTAATAAAACAATGATATTTAAATGATAGAGGACACACGTTTAAATAAATCATGTAAAATAATGTAACTAAATATAGAATAATAAAATAAGACCAATTAGACATACCAAAGAACAAGTGCACCAGGAAGTAAACAATTGATTATTTTCTCGACTTCATCATCTTTCATTTATTTATTTATAAGTATTGGCAACATACTTTTAGTGAATAATTACCTGAAGCATAAAACAGTTTATGGGGTGAAAATAAACTGCAGCACATGAAAACAACAAATAAAATGTTTCCAAAAAAAAAAATATAAACTTTATGAATTCCTGATATTATTATTACTTTTAATTAATGGTTTATTGGTTTGTTAACCAAAGGCTTATTTTATCTTAGCCTAATTGCTGTTGGGAGCTAATTGAAAGCTCGTTAATGTTAATTATCTCCTCTTTTTAGCAGGTAATAGTGGTTATTTGCTAGTGGAGGTGTATTATTATTGTGTCTGCCAATTGTTTTTTTTATCAATTGTGTGTTGTTAATATCAAAGGATTATTATCTGTCAATCATATTTCCTAGTTGTTTGAGTACATACAATAGCCTTTATACAGTGCAAACATAATTATTAAAATAATATTGATGCCCTTTATGGGTTCTTGATTAGAATAATAAAATTCTTATTCTTATGAAGTTTTAAAAAATGGAAAAGATATTATGGATAAGGGAATTTATTATTCTTTCCATTTGAAACTACATGGAGTGACCTTATTTACATGCTTTTATTACATATGTTTTTAAAGCCAAAAATATAAAGCATTTGTGAAATATCGTGCAAGTCAGGAAGATTGACCAGTGATTTCTATCAAAATTAAATTATTTGTTCACTAGCAAGAGGCTGTCAAATGACAGCAATCTGGTTTTTTCTTACGTTTTTTAGTGTCATTGTTAAACGGATAGTAGCTACGATTTTCATTAAAATTATCCTATCCTATATTCTGGTGTAATCTATATGCCGGATTTTGTACAAAAAGTTAATTAAGTATAAATAAAACCATCACTGATTACTTTCCATTTAGCATTTAGAAGCTTTTTAACTTTTTACACCTGAATTTAATTTTTGTCTACAGACAAAAATTCGATGTTAAGCCAACCCTTATTCATATGACCTATGTTGACCTTAACTCGGCAGTTCTCAATGCGCAATCACACATGGTCCCTCGAAGGAAAAATGTCGAACAGAGGAATGTTATCGCGGGAATGGAACATGAATTTACAGTTTCTGTGAGAAAAGGGATCAGAAAAGAGGTGCTGACAAATTATTGTAAATTGAAAATAAATAACGGCGATGAAATTGGTCATTAGAATCACTTACAAAAACCTGTCACGCAGGCAAAGTCACACAGAAGTAGCCGACAATACTACGGTTTGCAAAATGTTTACATTTCTAAACTATTCCAGATCACATGAAAACAAATTGCGACGTGTTCAAATCATTATTGTCCAAAAATATGTTTACAAATTTACGAGCTGTGATCTCTCAACATAGCAGAAATTAAAAATCAACTTCTTACAATTTAATATTATTCTACAGGTGTATCCTTCATGATGGCCCCAATTCACAAACACGTGTATACATTATCGGCATTGTTTTGTCATACAAATGTAAAAACAAGTGTATATAATCGCCATTGTTTGAGAACCTTTGGTTCGAATAAGATGCAGGCTTTTGTTATATTTTGTTGTTTATATAATTTGATAAATGGTGTCAAATATGTACGTCTAATTTAAAGAAATTATCAAATACATAAGAAAACAAAAAGCACATGTTCATATCTATTTATATCTGGGTCATTTCACTCGCTGTGTTGGCAAATATCGGGAAGTAAACCTGATGCATAATTAATGATATGAATAGGCACGCAACACGATATTAATTATGAATTATTAACACTTCTGTAGTTTATGTAAACATTCCAGCGATCTTATTGTTAATTTTAAGTACATATCTTTGATTTTAGCAGCTTTAAAACTTTGTCAAAATCGTAGCTAATATCCCTTTAAAGCAATCAAGGGCCATAAGTCCTAATTGTCAAAGATTTGTCAAATCACAGAAACTGGTGTTAAATTAAGGATAAAAAAGTTTCTTACCAACATAGGTCTTTTTATAGTAGAGGCATCACACCTCTGAACTGGATTTTCTCGGAATCACCTGAAAGGAGAAAAAAATTGTAAAGGATTCTAGATTTTTCTTAGATTAATATCATTATATGGCATCTTAATGTTTAGTTAAACATAACAGTGTATACAATAATTGCTTCCCAAGTTTAATAGCCTGTACAAATATGATTAATTTAATTGATTGAGAGGGTTTTACTTCACTTCTCAATACATTTGCTTAATATATGACTGTCAGTTTTATTGATAGAGAATGCTCTAGATATACTACTACTGGTACTATTAAGTGAGTAACAGACAGACTTATTGCAGCATGTCCTCTTTTTTGTTTTTGCAGGTGACCAAAGCCAGTCGCAAACTGACCTATTAAACACAGAGGTGTAGTTCTCCTTAAACTAACTTCAAAAGAATTTTGGATTACATGCAGTAGGCGTCTAACAGATCCAAAAAATGCTAACATGTTAATTACAACTCATCGCTGATAAGCTGCTGAATAAATATGATATCTTTCTTTTCAGTAGTACCTTGAGAAAGTGAGACAAAAAGTTCATTCAGCATATTAAAAAAAAAATCAAAGTATTGGCAAAGAGGAAGTTAAGATGTCCGACAGGTCCGAAAAGTCCTCAAACATAACTTGAATCACTGCTAAGCAACTGACGAAATATTAAATCACTCTGTTATGAAGTACAGAATTTTTGTGGGAAGAACTGAAGAACAGATGGACAGGTGAATGCAATACAGATCCAACTTTTTAAGTAGGGGTATAATAAAGTAGAAAGAGCCCATATCAGCTACGGTTTCACAGCTAATAAAGCTTTTTGCAAATTTAACAAAATAAGAGACAAATTTATGAACATTTAAAACTTATCCATCAAGTGCAAAATGAACCTGGGTGCCTTTATTATCTCTATTTTTTCTACTGATCAAGTCTTAAAGGTACTAAGATCACATCGACCATTTCTTTTTTTTCACTAATGCAGTATTCGATTTCTTAGGTAACATTACCGATTTTTCACATGGAAAAACATAACAAATTTAAATTTTTCGATAAACCAATCTGTAAAGTACTAATTTAAATCTGAATACAAACCTAAAATAGTAAATTTCGGCTTGAACAACCGAGGAAATATTGTAGTGTAATTATCCCACTCATATATCTGATGACAGCCTTGATAAATAACGGCTTTTGACACAATTATTATATTTAATGAAAAGAATTATCTTATTTAACAAGGTAGATATGAAGATAATGGAGAAAGGTTAAGTCAGGTTTTAGTTGATTCATAAATGAGTTACTAGCATGACATGTATATGTTTTGTTTTTATTTTTCTCCTGCCAAGAAGGTTTTATTGTTTACTGGTTTTTTCAGGGTATCGCCCACCTCTGTTCATTAAGAGGAAACAAGTGTAGGTTTTATTTATTTCTTTTCAAGGTTAAAAATTGACCAACTAATCCTAAAACTGAATTCTAACGGTAATACATGTTACATATCACCTTTTGCAAATGAAAATTATTTCCTTTTGGAATTTCCAATTTCCACATGGGAAACGTAAAAGATTTCCTGTCTAATTATAAAATATTTTGAAAGCAACTTTTTAAAAAATTCATTACTGATAAGAATTTGTGACCATTTTCAATGTAATCTGTATCTTCATAAGCTTAAAGTTTTCTAGGTTTAAAAAATAGATGCTTTAATAGCGGTGATCCAACATATTTTTTTTCGTATCACTTTTGTCTCCGCGTGAATCGCGCTATATGCTATCAGTGCGTCAGGCCATATGTAGACCTAACTTTGCGATTTAATTGGGCGGAAGAAGTTTTGAACTTTCACGGCCCATGTTATCATATAGTTATTAGACGTTCTATTCCAATTTCTTTTGTAGAAAAATTGCTTGACATGAAACTACTAGTATGCATAGCCTATAACATCGTGTTCCAGCCCTTGCTGAAAATAAATGAATGTCATTAAACCACAAAAGACGCAAACGTGTAAATTAAAAGCAATGCTTAGAATTATGTTTTAAAAGCGTCATTTAGTGTTTTGCCAATTTCCCCATCCCCACCACCCCAAAACAGAGGTCTCGTATATTTTCATACTGAATCTGTATTAGACTCCTTTATGAGTCCCCGATATATATAATACAGAATTACAGTATTACATTAGGGATGTATATTGGACCATCCGACTAAATATAATATATACTTGTTTATAGATTAGACCGTTGGTTTTCACGTTTGAATGGTCTTACACTAGTAATTTTTGGGGCCTTTTATAGCTTGCTGTTTGGTGTGAGCCAAGGCTCCCTGTTGAAGACCGTACTTTGACCTATAATGGTTTACTTTTATAAATTTTGACTTGCATGGAGAGTTGTCTCATTGGCACTCATACCACATCTTCTTATATCTATTTAAGCACACATTCCTTCATATATATGGACCATTAAGACGAGGTTTATAAAGAAGTGCCCTTAATAGTAGGTTTTGCTATGATTTGTCTATGGATGCAGCTGTTTGTAAAACCTTTAAGTTTTTCAGCAAGAACTGGCATCTAGGAATAAAATAGTTTACTAGCCTTTCTTTTCGAAATATGAAAGCGCCGTCCCAAATAACCAAACATCAAACTAAGTGCTAACCTTTAAATCAGTACGATCAAGCAACAGCTGATCTGCAATATCATAGTTGAAAAGTAAATTGTGTATTTATTCCACTAAAGTACAGAAAACTAAGTTACATATGACAAGTATACAACAAGGCGTAACTGTCATTCATAATATGTCTATTTATACGCTGACGTGGTTTCCTGATTTTATTCAATTTTGAACTCCTTACTCCTCTGTTAACAATATGTTTGTCTGAGTTAATGTTGTCGGAACGTCTGTTCATTTTGCAGCCTAAAGATAGTTGTCATGTATAAAAAAAAATCGTCTCTTCATACTTGTTTGATTTGCATCCAATGCATGCATGTAGCCTCGGGGTAGGTTTCATTATTATTATCTAAAGAAATGTGCAGGAACGGATTTAGGGGGTGCCCAGGCCCCCTTATGAAGTTTCATTCATGGTTAATTCAGACTTTTTACCGCTTCCACTACAAATTGTGTCTTGTTTGGGGACCCGCGGCCCCCCTTTCAAAATCCTGGATCCATCTAATGTGTAGATCTTCTATACAAACAGAGACAGATGCACTGTAGTCATCGGATTAATTTTCATAGATAATTTTGTTTGACAACGTGTCAACATTCGTCTGCCAGTGTAATTTTACTTTCATAAGTTTTATTAAAAAGCAGTCGGCACAACTTGTATAGTTCACATATTTTATTTATTGATTTTTTTTTGCACATCTGAAATTTTCTACAATTATTTGGACAAATATTAACTGCACAAGAAATGCCTCCACCTTTTTTTATAACTTTCGGCAGTATCAATAGTGAAATAAATAAGAAAATGAAGGAAATACAAATGTAAACAGAAAATCGATAATGTTTTGATCAATACACGTGCGTTATTTTTCACGGTTGTAATGGCGGATCGGTCACGTGAGAGGTTAATGGATGCGCCCATGTTTTCTAGGTCAATTATAGATAAACCCGTCTATAATAATATTAAAGATAATACATAACCCAAAACTGTAAAATTTCCTAAAAAATAACTATTTCTGGACAGTAACCCAACAATAAGTTGTCCTATTGGTCTGAAGATTACTTGACAGGTAGATCTAAACCTGTTTAACACTTTCACTTATGTCAGTTTTGCTCTTAATGCTTTATTTTTTTAGATGAAAGCCAAAAACTTCATTTGACCCCTATGTTCTATTTTTAGAAACTGCCACCACGTTTTTTAATGGATCAAATCCCCGAATACAATCTATAAACAAGATACCCTAAGGAACATTCAATTAAAGTTTTTAAGTATTTTCAGAGAAGAAGATTTTTGAAAAAGTAATTAGACTTTCACAAAAAATGTAAAAAAAAAAAAAACATTTTAAGGGCAATAACTCCTCAAGGGGTCAATTGATTATTTTGATCATATTGACTTATTTGTAGATCTTACTTAGCTGAACATTTATTGCCATTTATACTTTCTCTCTATCTATTATAAAATTAAAGAAAATAACCAAAAACAGTAAAATTTAATAAAAATAAACTATTTCCAACAGTAACCCAATAATAGGTTGTCGAACTTGTCTGAAAATTTCATAAAGAAAGATAGATCATGACCAATTTATTACTTTAACACCCTTTCACTTTTGCTCTAACTGCTGTAGTTTTTGAGATATAAGCCAAAAACTGCTTTTGTCCCCTATGTTCTATTTTTAGCAATGACGGCAATGTTTGTTGATGGATCAAAACTTCGGATACAATTTATAAACTAGATACCCTAAGGAACATTCAGTTAAAGTTTGAAGGTGTTTGGCAGAGTAGTTTCAGAAAAGATTCTGATAGTTTACAACGACAATGACAGACGACGACGGACGCCAAGTGATGGCATAAGCTCACATGGGGCCCGAGGACCAGGTGAGTTAAAAAGGAAGCAAATCACATTGAGGGGTCAATAAAGGGTCTTTAGCTATAAATGGCCCAAAGTCTTAGAGATGTTGTGAATACTCTAACAGAGACTTTCACAAAACTGCCATGCTACCAGTAACAACAAACTTTCCACCTCTATGTGTTAACTGCCATAAAAATCTAAACTGTTAAATAGAGATATTAAAACTTTGTCACTGTATTGTATTTACAATTGCTTATTTATCTACAACATAAAAAGAAACTCTCCAAGTGAAATTTCAATGCCAAATACAATAATCTCAAGAATAAATTTCAAAGTCAATAGACGAGCCAACAGACAAGTGGGATATGAAAATGTCCAATATCCTACTCAAGCCAGGGGGTATTTTACCACACAGACCCCCTAAAAGTCAGGTAGAAATTATTGGAAAATGTCAGACAACTATATTTTCGCAAATCATAACACATAATAAATCATAACTGATTCCTTGACCTATAATTAGTATTATATCAAAGGTAGCAAAGTGCTTA